TGGAAGAATTGTTAGAAAACAGTAAAAATGGATGGTTACTTCACATATTATTTATATTCATTCTAAATGGAGTTGCCCTAAAAGAAGTTAATATACCTATGTCAAGATGGAAACAAACTAGAAAATTCTTCATTTATTTTATCTCCAAATACTTTTTTGCAAGGTTTCATTTAATTAAAGTAAAAACCATTGTAAGAAGGGATTCTAAAATTCTATCTTCATGATTTCCCACTGGTTTATGAAATAACATATTGGACTATTCATTACAACTTCATTTTCTCAAAGGGAAAATAGTAATCTAATAAGTCAACAGAGATCTTAAAAGCAGAGGCACTTGAAGAAGATATCTAGATTAAGAGTTTGAATAGAAAATCATTTGAAAATTTACACTTTGATTTTTGATCTTTGGTAAACTAGTTTATTTTATTTGTTCATTTTATTTTAGTCAAGCATGATTCAGTAAATATTTATCAAACAAGTGTTTTCTCAACATAAAATGACTATAAAGGATACAAGAACTTGAAAAGATTGTGAGCAGTTTAATAAGATAGTCAATGTAAATGTCATTGTTCAAAGAAAACAGATGTGCTTTTAATCACTTTTCATTTTATAAACTCAAATATGTTTGGAAATAGTGGGAATAGTGTATTCAACAGCCAATATTTTTAATATTTAGAATATGTCATGCATGATTTAAATGATTTTCTGAAAGTAATAAAACATTAGATAACTTTGAAGCCCTCTGTGTATGCATTTCTCCATCCCCAGAGTCAGCCTCTTTTGTGAGCCTGGTGTATCTGTTCTATCCTTACAGTTTGTGTTTTTAAACATTTAACACTGTGCTTTTATATGTACACAAGTTAGGTACATTATGTAACCCATCTGAAACTAGGTTTTGTTTTTTTTTTTTTCTTATAAATATGATTTTGAGATTTAACTGCTCTATAACATTATCCTCTATAAAAAGATTACAGTTTGCCATTCCTCTGTTTGTGGCCGTTAAGGTTTGCTATATCAAACTATGTTGTAGTAAATGGCCTTATGATGTCTACATATGAAAATGTAAACAAGTTGAACTACATATTCGAGAGTATGTGCATCTTCATTTACACATGTTTAAGTCTATTATAGCCAAATATATCTCCATAATAGTTGTAGAAATACACACTACCATCAACCCTTTGTGAAAGTTCCTCATTCTCCAAATCTTTGCTAACACTAGCTACCATTGTGGGTCAAATTGCTTCTCCTCCACTTACTAGCTGTGTGACTTTGGCATGGTAATTATATAATTTCTCTGTGTCTCTGTTTCTTCCTATGTAAAATGGGGGTGACATCACCCACCTCATCAGGCTTTGTGAGGACTGTGTAAATTGGTATTTATAAATGTTTAAGAATGACTGGACCCGGTGGCTAACATCTGTAATCCCAGAACTTTAGGAGGCCAAGGAGAGTGGATCACTTGAGGCCAGGAGTTCGAGACCATCCTGGCCAACATGGAGAAACTCTGTCTCTATCAAAAATACAAAAATTAACTGGCTATGGTAGCACATGTCTGTAATCACAGCTATTCAGATAGCTGAGACATGAGAACTGCTTGAGCCTGGGAGGCAGAGGTTTCAATGAGTCGAGATCACACCACTGTACTCCAGCCTGGTCAACAGAGTGAGACTCTATCTCAAAAAGAAAAGTTTAAGAATAATTATAGTATATAGGAAGCACTCCATGTGTGATGTTTTGATAATTCTTGGACTTCCAATTTTGCCCAATAAAATGGGTGTGGTCTTGCTGTTTTAATTGGTGTAAACTTTTCTTAATATTCTCAATTACTACGTGACTTCATTATGGACTAGTAACAAAGTCTGTGGACTGGCAGCAGTCTATGTAGATAACCCGAGTACCAGTTTGTTAAATTACTTTTAGTCTTGTGGGTTTTTCTTTTTTACACATTAGATTGAAGGGTATAATTTTACTATTAAATCAGTGTTTGTAATGCTTATATATCATTTCAAATTTTCTTTCTTTCTTTTTTTTTTTTTTTTTTTTTGGGGGGGATGGAATCTCACTTTGTTACCCAGGCTGGAGCATAGTTGTGTGATCTAGGCTCACTGCAACCTCTGCCTCCCGGGTTCAAGAGATTCTCCTGCTTCAGCCTCCTGAGTAGCTGGGATTACAGACATGTGCCACCATGTCTGGATAATTTTGTACTTTTAGTAGAGACGGGATTTCACCATGTTGGCCAGGCTGGTCTTGAACTCCTGACCTCAGGTGATCCACCAGACTTGACTTCCCAAAGTGCTGGGATTACAGGCATGAGCCACCGCACCTGGCCTTCTCTTTCTTTTTAAGTCAATTTTGCTAACACGTTTCTCTAAGAATTAACTTATTTTACATATTTTCAAGTGTATTATTAAAATACATATCTTACTCATCTTTTTTTTTTGTTTCGAGGTGGAGTCTCACTCTGTCGCCTGTTTTTTTATTTTCTATATTTTCTATTTTCACTCTTCTTACTGTTAATTTATCACTATGTACGTGTGTATATGTATATGTATATGTAATATGTGTATGTATATGTGTGTGTATATATATAATCAAGTCTGCCATAGGTCTAATCTATATTTTGTTATTCTTTTAAACAAATGGCTTTGGGTTTGCTAGTAATATCTTTTGTCATATTGTATCAATTTCTGTGGTTATATTTGTTGTTATTTTCAAATTTGAGTTTATTTTTATTTTCTGAATTCTTTGAGTTGAAATATTATTCCATTTAATTTTTCTAATAATAATATCTCTATTTTATTCAACTAACTCTAATGCACAGAAAAGAAACAGAACTAAATTATTGGAATTCTTTGTTTTCTTAATGTAGATAGAAAATTTTTCATATCTGAGGAAGGTTATAGGAATGACTAAATGAGCTAAAAATTAATGATATATGTGAACCTGGACTGTTAACAGTGAGCTACAAGTAGTATTTGTACAGTTTTATGCCCTTTACAAGTTTTTACAGTCATTACTACATTTTTTAATAACAAATGTATTTAGATATAATTTACGTACCATAAGTCACTCTTATGAAGTGCACAATTCAGTTTAACTGTTACAGCTATTTAATTTTTGAACACTTTAGTCACCCCAAAACAAACCCCATGCCCATTAGCAATCATTTCCCATGAATACCTCCCCTCAGCCCTAGAAACCACTGATCTATCTATTTTCTACCCCTAAAGATTTGCCTATTCTGGACATTTCATATAAATGTAATCATGTAACATGTGTTTTATGACTAGCTTCTTTCACTTGGCATAATGTTTTCATTTGTTTTAGCATACACCAGTAATTATTTTCTTTGTATTGATGAATAATATATCTATCATGTGGATAGACAACATTTTTTTATTCATCAGTTGATGGGCATATGAATTATTTCCATTTTTGGTTATGAATAATGCTGCTATGAATATGCACGAGTTCTTTTGTGAACATGCATTTTTAATTATCTTTGGTGTACAATTGGAATTGGAATTTTTGCTGGGTCATATGGTAACTCAATATTTAACGTTTTAAGGAAGAGCCAAACTGTTTTCCAAAGTGACTGCATTTTTTCTTAATAGCCAACTGGCAGTGTATGAGGGTTCTGATTTCTCTACATCTTTGCCATCAGCTGTGTCATCCAGCTTTCTTATTATAATCATCTTAGTCGGTGATTAAGTCTTAGTCTCATAGCTAAGAAGCCATTGCCTAATTGAAGGTCGCTAAGATATATGCCTGTGTGTTCTTCTAATAGTAGTGTAGTTTTAGTTCTCACATTTAAGTGTGTAATACAGTTTGAGTTAGTTTTTGTCTATGGTGTGAGATAAGTCTGAACATAAGTGGAGGAAAAATTGTCTTTCCAAGAAATAGTGCTGGGAGAACTAGATTTTCACATGCAATTGAATGATATCTGAACCTATCTTATACCGTATACAAAAATTAATTCAAATTGTATCAAAGACCTAACATAAGAGCTAATCTAAAATTAGATATTTTTTCTTTTAAACAACTGTGCATCCAACACAAACATTTTCTTTATTTTAAAAATGCTAAATCCAGGGTATTAAATTTTAAGAGTATTTGTTTTATTTGGGAGCTATCTGGAACTATTCTGTACATGTTTTTGATACACATTTTTCAGTTAGCTCTAGTCACAATAATGTCATACAGAAAAAACAATACTGTGCAATAAATAACTGCAATATCTAAGTGATCACAACAATATACATCAGTATGTCTCACAGTAATTAGTTTAGGGTTTGATACATTTTTGAAATAACATAATTTTAGTAACTTTCAGATACTGAAACATTCTTTTAGACACAATAATACTAAAAGAAACTTTAATCTCATATCCGTTTTCAAAGCTTCTTTCCTTTCTCCCTACTCAGGCCTGTTTCAGGCTAAAAGAAACCAGTAAGGAATGATATAGATATGATATTTTTGGACTCTGCAGAAAGCCGCCATCTTCTCTCTTAATGGAAGCACTCCCTAAGTCCAACAACTTCTTCACAGAAATCTTTTTCTGTTGTTGTTGGATATTTCTTCTCTATGGATCTGTAAATATAGGGTAGTCAGCTAAGAGAATAGCAAAGTTAGTTTTAGCCACATCTTAGAAATTCCTATGGTGATTTTTCTGAGCTTTGTCAGGTGAAATTCTAAAAAAAAAAAAAACCAGAAACCCCCCTATTTTGTTTTTGTGTGACAATAATTCTTCTATTCTTTAATCAGTGTCAGGTATATGTAAATTCAAGCAATAAAATCTCCCTAATAACTATTCTAATGAATACATATAAACCTAAGTTTTGCAAGTTTCCATTAAATATTGGATTAAAAGAAATTGCTGTTTTAAGATGGAGAATTATGTAATAAATTATACTTTTAAATAATATATTTTGATCTCAAGCATTTTATTACCAGAGTTTACATTTTCATAAGCCTATTAAACATAAATTTAATTTCAGATCCTTTTGAAGCATTCATCATCTTTTCTATTCGTCATGAGATCAGAAGGATTGATCTTCACAAAAGAGACTATAGTCTACTTGTTCCTGGATTGAGAAACACGATAGCACTTGATTTTCACTTCAATCAAAGTTTACTTTATTGGACAGATGTTGTAGAAGACAGAATATACCGGGGAAAGCTTTCTGAAAGTGGAGGTACATATATTATAATTTTCCTTAATGTTTAGATTACTTTTTTAAGTGAAAGTTCAAAGAACACGTTATAACTAGAAGAAATTTTGATTATTCTTTGACTTTTGGTCCTTTATCCCCTCCCTTTTTTTTTTTTTTTTTTTTGAGATGAGTCTTGCTCTGTTGAAGCTTTCAGGTACATTGGCCAGATCCATGTGACTCACCCGCGGCACTCACCTCCAGGAGTTCCATCTGTATTCTCCACCTCAGCTGTAGTAGCTGGGACTACAGGCACCGCCACCCTGGCCCAGCTAGTTTTTGCCTCAATATTGGTAGGCAGGGTTTTTTTCGTCCATTGGCCAGGATGGTCTCGATCTCCTGATGCCAAGTGATCCACCGTCTCAACCTCCCAAAGTGCTGGATTGAGGCAGGCACCGCGCCCGACAACCTCTCCACCATATGTGCTAAAATCAGGGTGTTGAGCATCTGTGTATGTGAAAGGCTGTTGAGGCAGGAAGTGGTGATGCTCATGTTTATTTTTCTTGCCACTGTGGACTTTCCATGGACCCAGTGGCAAAAATTTATTTACAAGCAGCTCAAGTGACTGGATTGTTTACACACCATAATCACATTTTTGAGTTAAATCACTTTTTTTTTTTAATTTATTTCTGCATCTTTCAAGATAATTCAAAAAAATAAAAAATTACAAAGATGACTATCTGAGAGCTATAAATATTTTACCATAGTTGACTTTCTTTTGCATTTTGAGATGGAGTCTCGCTCTGTCGCCCAGGCTGGAGTGCAGTGGCCAGATCTCGGCTCACTGCAAGCTCCGCCTCCCGGGTTCACGCCATTCTCCTGCCTCAGCCTCCCAAGTAGCTGGGACTACAGGCACCCGCCACCTCGCCCGGCTAGTTTTTTTGTAATATTTAGTAGAGACGGGGTTTCACCGTGTTAGCCAGGATGGTCTCGATCTCCTGACCTCGTGATCCACCCGTCTCCGCCTCCCAAAGTGCTGGGATTACAGGCTTGAGCCACCGCGCCCGGCCTTCCCCTCCCTTATATATGTAAAATCAGGGGTGTTGAGCATCTGTGTGAGCACCTGTTGGGGGCAGGAAGTGGTGATGCTCATGTTGTTCACACCATTTGCCACTGTGGACTTTCCATGGACTGATGGCAAAGAAATTTATTTACAAGAAAACGAAACAAAGTGACTGGTTGTTACACACCATTAGTCACATTTTTAGGAGTTAGAATAACTTTTTTTTTTTTTTTTAATTTTGCTACCATCTTTCAAGATAATTCAAAAAAAAATGAAAAAAAATATTACAAAGATGACTAATATGAGCTAAATATTTTTGCCATAATTTGACTTACCTCTTTTGGCTAAACTAATCCTTTCTTAAGTAGAAAGTCTTTGATATAAATAGCCAGGTGCAGTGGCTCACGCCTATAATCCCAGCACTTTGGGACGCCGAGGCAGGTGGATCACATGAGGTCAGGAGCTCCACACCAGCCTGGCCAATATGATGAAATCCCATTTCTACTAAAAATATAAAAATTAGCCGGGCGCGGTGGTGCATGCCTGTAATCCCAGTTACTCAGGAGGCTGAAGCAGGAGAACTGCTTGAATTTGGGAGTCGGAGGTTGCAGTGAGCTGAGATTGTGCCATTGCACTCCAACCTGGGCAACAGAGTGACACTCCATCTCGAACAAAAAAAGGAAAAAAAAAAAAAAAAAGAAGTCTTTGACATAAATATATATTTCTCTTGAAATGTTGCCTCCATATACCATTCCAAGAACAAGGTATCTCTTTCAAATTGTTAATTCCATTCTAAAACACCTTTGCAATTTTGAAAAATGGTCATATTTAAGCGCATAATATAATTATGATATGTAAACTTATATCCTATTCCATATACTGATTTAAAACGATGGATTTAGATTCATAGGATTAATTGGTTAACGATTTCATAAAACACATTGTTAATATGTCTAACAAAAAGCACTGATGTGGTAGCAACGTTACAAACTACAATGATTTATCATATTACAAAAGATGTTTAAAAAGGAAAATTTTGGCTGGCCAGCACAGTGGATCATGCCTGTAACTCCAGCACTTTGGGAAGCTGAGGCAGACAGATGCTTAAGCCCATGAGTTTGAGACCAGCCTGGACAACATGGCAAAATCCCATCTCTGCTAAAAATACAAAGAAAGCTAGGTATGGTTTTGTGCACTGTAGTCCTTGCTACTCAGGAGGCTGAAGTAGGAGAATCATCTGAGCCCTGGAAGTTGAGGCTGCAATGAGCCGTGATCACACCATTGCATTCCAGCCTGGGCAACAGAAGTGAGACCCTGTTTCAAAAATAATAATAATAATAATATAATAATAATAATAATAATAATAAAATAACTAAAATAAAATAAAGAAATATTTTTTAAAAAAATTGTGAAAGAAATTAAATAATGGATAAATAAGAATATTGGTAGGCATCACCAAATCGCTTATTTTTATTCATACCTTTTCTCTTATTTACATTTTTGTTATATCTTACAAATCTTAGGGTCCCAGGTGAGGAAGAGGGTCATCTGGGGCTTATCTTTGTTAAAGTTTAATATAGTAGTAGCTGTTACCTGTTATGCTTCCACAAAGAGAAAAAGAGTGAGTGCTGATTAGCCAGAATGCATATGAGCTCTGGTGGGCTTTTTCTTTTGATTTTATTCTACTCTTGAAGATCAACATTTGAGTTAAGTTGCACTGATTGTTTCCAAAATCCCTTGCTCTGAATGCAAAAGTCAGAAACAAGAAGTAACTTTTTTTTTTTTGCCACCTCAATGTTGTTATTAACCTCAGAGCTGTTTAAAAACTTGATTCCACTGATACTAAAAGGATTTACTAGATTAAAGATTTCTGGTAAGGGTGATAGGTAATGCTAAATTGGAGACTACTTGGTGTTGCCTGTGCTAAGTAGCACTTTTGCAATCTCTCGAAGTGGAAATCACATTGAAATAATTTGTACTGCTGGTTGCAGGTAGGCCTTTTTCCTTTGTACTTAACGCAATCCTTGAATGGGTGCACATACTGGTTTTCCTTCTTTTGTAGGTGTCAGTGCCATTGAAGTGGTTGTGGAGCATGGCCTGGCTACTCCAGAAGGCCTGACAGTCGACTGGATAGCAGGAAACATATACTGGATAGACAGCAATCTGGACCAAATCGAGGTGGCTAAACTAGATGGCTCCCTAAGAACTACACTAATAGCAGGAGCCATGGAACACCCCAGGGCCATTGCTTTGGACCCAAGATATGGGTAAAGAAGTTTGCCTTTTATAGATTGAGTTTGGCATAAAAAACAGGCTTTCAATTTAATATTGAATTCAATTATCTCATCAATTATGAGTCAAAGTGTCAAAGTGGTTATTTTGTGCTAACGTATGTGTGTGGGGTGGGGTGGGGGTGCGTGTGTGAGTTGTATATACAGCAACTAGTTTAAGTTTATTGCCACAAGTTTGGTTATAGGATTGCTTACATAGGTACTTTTAGAGGCTCAAAATGTATTTTTTTTTTCTAAATGTGGGCATTAGGCCCTATTGGAAGCTATTGCAACTCTTTTTCAAAGCAGTAATTTAATGAATTTATCTTCACCCTGCCAAAGAGATGCTGTAATTGTTTCTAATGGTTGCAAACTACAGGGCCAGTCTTTGTTCTAAATAGTCACAGATGTTAACCGTCTCACCCTTTATTTATTTTTTATGTTCTTGGAGTCAGTTTAAAAGAAAATTTAAATAAGCTTGAAGGAGTCCAGTGGTGAGATATTGACTACTGGGAGATTTGAAAGACAAAGCATATGATTCTGGAAAACAAGGTTCAATGTTGAGTAACTCAGGTTACTGCCTCTCTTCCCTTGTGTGTTCCTTTGTGAAGGAGCAGAAGAGAGGCACTGGATTTCCATCCAGAAGATGTGGGTTCCCATTCCTGCCCAGTCACTTATACTCTGGGGGTATCAAGTGTATTCTTTTTCCTTAGATTTCAGGTTTCTATTCTATGAATTGCGGATAATAACATCTTCCTCCTTCAGTTGTTTTTAAGGAGATGATATACATAGGAGATAATATGCAACTGATATGTGAGAATGCTTTGTTATTCCTGTCGACTATGACCTTTGTAATTTTTTTGTAAATCAAAGGCCATTGTCGAGTCTAAAGGTTAGCAGAAAAGAATTCGTTGGGAGGCTTGTACCTTTAAGTAATGTCAAGTCCAGGGAAAGCCAATGAGTGCTTCAATGAGAGAGGAGCTCCAATGAACAAGGAGTGAGCCAAGAGGGAGTTCAATGAGATAAAGAAGAGAGAAAAGCCAGCCTATGTCTAAGTCGGCCTCCTGGCCACACTCTCTGACTTTTGCTCTTGTCTATGCCTAAGACTCAGAAGTCAATAGATTGGGAAGTATGTTTACGTCTCTTTTCGTCAATTTTGACCCAGAAATGAAAGGGGCAGAAACCACTTCTCTAGAGCAGGGATTCCAGATTGACCACCCTCATTTCTGTGTTTGCTTTATTTTCCACAGTGTTTTAAATTTACTTGAATTAGTTGTCAAAATTTAAAATATTGAGAGATTTTACATAAGATCCTGGATTTCTGCCTTGTTTCGTAAAATAGGGAGATCTGGTAACAATGAGCTGAGCAGTAGCTGTTTCTCTTAGCCTGGAAGTGTATTCTCTAGTTTATGTAGTCTACATTTGACCTATTTCACTCATTACTTCCTATAATAACAGTTTATCAGGAGAAAGCCTGCTATGTTTAATAAGACATGTCTTTATTTTTCAATATTTTATTCCTGAGGTACAATAGATTGCTGACACTGACCGTATATTTCCCACAAAGTTGCAAGCTCATTATCAGCCAGGGCCTTATCTCCAGTGCCAACTACCGATATAAGGGTTTTACCTATCAGACCTAAGTTGTGTCAGCATGAGAAACTTTCTGAATAAAAGAAAAGTAGTATTTTGGAAAAAGATTGTAATCATAGCATGTATACCAACATGAGAAGAAAAATATGAATAATTCCAAAATTATAAATGACACAGAACACACAAAAACAGGTGTATGAAAGTTTAAAAATGGCCTCACCAAACCAGATAGATTTTGCAGTTGATACCTCATTTTCCATTGATATTATATTAACAATGCTCGGATCAACTTATTTATCTCAGTTTTGAAAATATCCAACCTGAGAGTAAAGAAAACAAAAACACCAAGGACATACAACCTATAAATACTATTTAAGTGAAAATACCAAGTACGATTTCAGTATGAAATATCCTCAACGAGTTGAAAGTTAAACAGAAAGCTCTCCTGAAAGTAGGGGAAACTCAAAAATGCTTCTGGGGGAGTTGATGCCTTCCATCAGTGACTGCTGCTATGAAACAGTGAGACTAATTAAGATAATTACATTGGTAATAAAATAATAATTTTTAAAAATAGGATAACAATGCTTATACAATCGTTTCTACAATAAATGACCAGAGTTTGGACAACAGTACTAATTCATTAAACTCTAAGTGTTAACTGGAACATTGACAGATTTTTGTGTCATGATTTGATAGGCTTTTTGTTGTTAAAAGTTATTTTACAGAGGTTGATATGATTAAGATATAAAGTTTATATAAACATCACAAAGCACATTTTAAAATGTAAATTTTTGGATTAAAAATGTAATGCAAATATTAAAATATTTTCAAGTTTATTAGCTATTTTGGTAAAAAGTTCTGAGGTTAGTTTAATATTGGACCTTTCACAAAGTAGGCTTAGAACATAGCAACAAAAAGCACGTGCGTGCACACACACACGCGCACACTCACACACACTCACACACATACGCACTTACAGCAAAGCCAAGCCAAGCACAAGAAAAGTAACATTGAAATATCATTTTATTTAAACTCAGCTTACTGTCTTAGTACCATGTACAATATAAAAATAAGATTTTCCCTAATTTCTGAAACTATTAATCAAATACATAGGGAAACAAGAGACTCAGAATTGATATGAACTTCAGAGTAATTTAAACTTCTTTTGAAATTTTTGATTTTAGATAAAATTCACTAATTATTGAGAAATATGATTTATATAAATACTGTTCTATTTTCTACTAAATCTTAAGCTTTTTGATGGCAAGGGAATTTGTTTTCAGTCTGTAAAATCCTTCTAAGCCTCTTTGAATATATACTTGTGCTAAGTAAATGTTAAACAAATGAATGCATGCATATAAATGGAATTTGTTTATATGCAACTTACATGAACTCAAGGATGTATTTAAAATGTGAAGTATACAGTAAGGACAGCGAATGGGTAAAACTATGAACTTTGTTTACAATAACAAATGAAAAAAAAAAAGGTTCGCAACTAGCCACTTTTTCCCTTAACACAGCTGAGAAAAAAACAGGCCCTAACAGTAGCCCCACAAAACACATTTACTTCATGTGAGGTTTCTACAGCAATCAAGGTCTTTGTGACCTTTTTTTACAGATGCCATTATGAAGTGTTTTTAATTGACTACTTTGCTTCCCCGGCATGAAATCCACCAACATTCACTTTGAGTTATAAAACATATCTGTCATCATGCCATATTCCTTCAGTATTCTGGATTTTGACCTGATCTCCCAAGTGACAAACTATTCCAAGATGGTAAATTAAGAGTCTTAGGGAGGAGCTATTTTTCTTTCATTCCATTTTAAGGTAATGCACTTATTGGTAAGGTGACCTGAAAGAGACCATGAATCCCGTTTTAAACATTAAGCTTATTATTGGAGAGTAACAAGCGCCAGGGTGTACAGAATCTACAAGATACTCACTTCAGTTCTTAAACTTTCATTGCCTTTGTCTTTACGCTACCGCATGGCATCTTCCTGCTCTATTGCTAAAGCTAGTATTTAGCTTTCCTTTGTCATAATAACTGAACTAAAAATTCAGCTTTTAACTAAAACTGAATTTAGTTAAACTAAGTTTTTAACTGCCATAAAAGTTGCATTGGTGAAAGCAGAAATAGTAATTGTGAAGATTAGTGAGACATCCAAATAATATTTTAATCTTATTTAGGAATATTCTTAAATGGAACTAATAAAGGTTTTGTTGATTTTAAAAGAACTAAATATTATAGATAAGTAACCTGGTTTTATTTGTTTATTTGTTTTTTTTTTGTTTGTTTGTTTGTTTGTTTTAACCGGGATCATTTATTTTTACCTTCTGCTGCTTGATCTGATAGATGGTAACGGCTTTTTTATGCCTATAATGGTACAAGTTGTGCATGGTCTTTTGAACCAGTTTAATCCAGACACTTACTAATGCATGAATGGAGGAACTGCAGCAACTGTAGACTGCAGTTTCTTTTTTTAAAAGTTATTGTGGCTGAACATTTCCATACATCCTATAAGGAGAGAGATTAAGTCTTTGTATACTTGAGGATATAATGCAATCATTGAAATGCTAATGCATTTTAACCATCCAGAGAGAAAGTAATAGGGAAAAAATGATCCTGTTAAAGTAGCACGTTATCAAGTATATGAAAGAGTACCTAGAATTTTATGAAAGGATGATCATTGAAATCAGCTCTTAAGATTGTTGTGAACTGTGTTATGGCAAGGTTAAGAACACTTTCACGGTGACTAATTCTATAACATGTTATTTATAAAAAATGTTGGAGTTTCTCACTTAAACCGATGAAATTTTAGTCTCACAGTGACCACTATAGAGGAAGTATACTAACACTGCTAGGTCTAGTGAAGAAATGACACAATCACTTATTTTAGTGAATCAAAATGTCCCAAGCCATATTTTTCTCCCACTAGAAAAATGTTTCAGAGTTCACAGTGCCTATTTCTAGTAAATATAAATATAGAGAATGCAGAATTGCAGAGTCACTGATAGATAGTTGGACTCGCCACAACTATTCAAAGTTTAACTGGATAGAAAGTTACAAGGTAGACACCAATTTCCCAATTGTTATACAGGCAAAAGATGATGCATCAGAAATCTTTGTGTTATCATTGCAGAGTGGGAAGTACAGCTTTATCTACATCTATAGGTGGCTTATCCACAAATACTCAGAGACTACCTATAACTTCCAAATTCATAGTTTGTTTTCAGAGATTATTTTTTCTTTTCTTTTTTATTTCTTTTTTTTTTTTTTTTTTTTTTGAGACGGAGTCTCGCTCTGTCGCCCAGGTTGGAGTGCTGTGGCCGGATCTCAGCTCACTACAAGCTCCGCCTCCCGGGTTCACGCCATTCTCCTGCCTCAGCCTCCCGAGTAGCTGGG